ACTCATTACAGTCAAAGTGAGATATTTCAAGCCTTTGTTATAATTTGACTATGGCTTACAGCTTATGAATACAAAATTAGAATATTATGAAAAGGTTTTCACAATATTATTGACACCTTTTAAATTGAATTACTGAAACAAATGAACGTTTGCACGATATTCTAATTTTTCAAGTTTCATCTGTAGTAGTCAACATTTGAAGTGCATCAAAAAAGTGAATCAAAGTTGTCCTGACAAGAACGGGTTTTGTTCAATATTATGTATAACTTTGATGAAAGGGTTAGGTCCACTTCAAATGTTGACTACTGCATTCATTTATAAATACATAAACAAAAGAAACATCCTTTCACTTTAAACAGCTTTTATTTCAAGCTAATTTCTAATTTCATATTATGTTTAAATATTTTTATGAACACAAAATGCTTCAACAACTGAGACAACAACAAAACATTTCTCAGAATGTTTTTTTTTTTTTTGTTTGTTTTTTTGACAAACAGAAATGAGTCCCTGAACAAAGGGGGTCAATATCAATCCTCAAATTATCCAACACATCTGGGGCTTCATACAGTGTGTGCAGAATTATTAGGCACGTTTATTTTCTAGTGATATATAAGTGATATATAATTGTTTATGAAGGCTGGAAAACGCCTTGTATTCAGGTGTGCATAATTAGGCATGTTTTCTTTTACAGATAAAATAAGCCAAAAAAGAGGTACTAAACTTCAGCTTGTGATTCTTATTATTCTCATAATAAGAATCACAAACTGAAGTGTTGTAGAATACATGATCAACCAGAATCTGACAGGACGTTTTGGGAGTTCAGTTTTAGTCTCTGCAAAACGGACTTCAGGGTAGGGGGTGGACTAAAAATTATCTCCCAAAACTTACTGTCAGATTCTGGAAGATGAATTCTTCAAACAGTGATACAAGAGGATGTGGTGCTGGTCATTCAAGAGTCACTCTCAATCTGACTATAAAGCCTATAAAATAAAAACAGTCTTCATGTATTTTACTAACTTCACCTTGTGATTCTTATTAAGAGGGCATCATTTTTTAGGATTCTTTACATTACCTCCTTACATAGTATACTATGGAAGTCAATGAGACCAGAAACTGTCTGGTTACTGATATTCTTCTAAATATATATATAAAAAAAAATCGGCTGAATGGATTTGAAAACGGTAAAACACAACTGTTTAATTCTGGGGGAGTTGTAAAATGAGCCTATTTCCAAAAAAGTGGAGTATCCCTTTAAGACAATATATAGGCCATTATTACCAAAACTTAGCAATTGCTAACATTTCAACTTAATCATTCTGGTTTAAATGAATCAGACTACATTAAAGATATAAATAAATTCCTTTCAAAATAATCATAAAAATAAACTATGACTCAATGTTTCATGCTTTTTAAAGTGATTGTCACTTTGTTTTATCATGAATTGAGTAATTTACATAACATCTTAATGATGAATCATCAGGTTTACGGTCCAGGATCTTCACCATATTTCAAATCGCTTGTCTCCGATGAACTTCTTTCTGTCACTGACTTTGTTCCCGAACAGCCTGAAAACACAAAATTCAGCACAATATGATATTATAAAGTCATCTGATTTCAAAAGTCAGTCAAAAAGTAAAAGTATTCATCAAAGTATGTCATTAATTATATTTGGCTAAGCTGTGCGCAAAATATGTATTCTAAACTGAACCACTGACATTTATATATATGATAATTCATTTTAAAGATGCACTTTTATATACCAAAAATACAGGCTTATTCAATCATATTTAAATTCTTCAAGAAATGCTTACCATGTGGCCCTTCAACAATGTGGATCTAGAACTAGCATTGCTTGCATTATTTTAACTTGTAATTTAACAATAAATTAAATCATATTACAGAAAACAGACGACTCTATAATGTAAAAATCAAATGAATTATGTTTTGTTTGTTAAATCACTAAAACTACTGTTTCATTAATGAAAAATATGGGTTCAAAAATGAAAACCATCACACACACACTCACCGCACAGTCTGGATATTGCTGTGACTGGAGACGACGCTGTGGATTCTCTCTGCTGATTCGTCTGTTATATTATTGTGACTCACACTATAAGAAGAAATGAGACAGAAACAATAAATGAACAGAAGTGAACATGTGTTTAGTGTTTGTCTATTGCTGTGGTGTCTCAGTAACTCACTCCAGAGTCTGAGTTTTGTGCAGATGTGGCACCAGCGACTTCATGCAGTGATCCGTGAGTTTGCAGTGACTGAGATCCAGTTCTTTCAGCCCTTCAGAATATTCCAGAAACAGCGCCAGCTGTTCACAAGCGCTCTGGTCCATCTGAGTGTGACTGAGGTCCATCTCTCCTCCTAAAGCCTGTGAAAGAGCCTCAGTCCTCCTCGAAGAGCCTCTCTGAGATCTATCTTTACTGATACAAGCCAGAAACCGCAGCAGCAAAGCTTTACTGCAACTGAAGAGAGGAAGAACAACACAATGATAATATACAGGGAGTTTATATGCAGATAAATAATTGGACTGTGTGATATCAGTAATGAGAGGTATCAGTCAGATATTTCTCACCTCAGCTGGACTCGAGGCAGGATTGGCCAAAGTTGTTTCAGGGCCGTATCAGAGATCTTACAGTCCTGTAAAACCAACTTCACAACACTTTGAGTTTTCTGAAGCACAGATTTGATTAATTTACAGTCTTTATTTGTTAGTTTCAAATGTTCTTGCTTTTTTGTGTCTGTTAAATCCAGAGCCGAACCGCAGGAGAAGTCCAGTGTGTTGTGAAGAGCAGAGAGCAGAACAGATGCTGTCCCCTGCTGGAGATCAGAGGAACTGCAGCCATGAAGCAGCTTCAGCAGCAGCAGCCTGTCAACACTACACACACACACACACACACACACACACACACACACACACACACACACACACACACACACACACACACACACACACACACACACACACACACACACACACACACACACACACACACACACACACACACACACACACACACACACACACACACACTGTTAACGGAGAGATTCTTGAGCAAAACAACAGGCATTATAGTATCAGTGCTGTTAAATGAGCTGACCTGAGTCGTGTGACTCTGCTGAGCAAAGGCAGAAAGCTCTCCAGCTCCCCCTCTGGTATGGAGGTCCAGAGCAGACTGAGTTTAACAGTGTTGCAGTTCTCGAGAGTGAAGCGCAGGGCAGCGCAGTGAACAGAGTCCAACACTCTGCCGTTCAGGTTGATGTCATTTCCTGCTGAACTCATCAGACTGGACACATACTGAGGAGAGCGAGTCTCATAAATCTCCATAATGATGGACAGAGTAAAGCTGGGACTCATCCTGTGGAGAATAAGATCATTCAGTAAAATCTACTTGAATCAAAGTCACTCAGTGAATACAGAGAAGAAAAATACATGTTCTTTAATAGAGAAGTGATGGATGCAATGGTTTATCCAGGATGAGAAATGTAAAGTGACCCAGAAATCTAATTTGCCACAGGAGGACAGCCTGCAAACTTTCTAATAGATATTTAGAATAGTGGTTTTCTATTCATGAGTAAATATAAAGTCTGTGGTCAAACATTACTTTAAAAGATTTTGTTCCACAACAAACATTAAAGTCTTATTTTTATTTATTGATTTTATTTACGAGTTTCTTCAATGATTGAGAAATAAGCCAGGGGACTCTGAAAAACCAGAAGCAACTTGTTAGCAACTTATGTTTTTAAAGCACACAGTGGTTTCACAGCTCACATTTGAGGAATGTAATATATATATATATATATATATATATATATATATATATTAAACTAAATTAAATTGAGGGAAACCATGGCTCTATTCGTGATGGATTATTTTTACCTTTTTAACTTGATTTTCTCTATCAAGGGCAGAAGTTCTCGGATGTTTTCACAAGAGATTTTATTCTTTCTCAAGTCCAACTTCAGATTCAGAGCTTGATGTGTCAGTATGTAATGAATCACTTCCCAGTTCATCGAGCAGGAAGTCAGATCCTTCGACACTTTCTTCAGGAAAGAGCGTGTCAGTTCATCATCCTGTGCTTCAGACACCACAGAAACCAGCCGCTGAAGAGTCTCTTTAGAGAACCTGAACACACACACACACACACACACACACACAACTGGTCAGTTTGTTAAACCGGTTGATTTACTCACAGAAAATGGACCTTGCTGAACACACACAGACCTGATAGTCACAGGTTTCTGGAGACCCAACAGAGCCGTGAGAGACAGAGTCTCTGATTTACACTCAGTAAGATCCAAACACTGAACAGAAAACAGTCTCAGGAGAGACGTCAAGCTGCTCAAGATACGAGAGAGATTTCGCTTCGAGTTTTTTGTGAGCATTGAAAACTCCTCTATCAGTGGAAAAGGACCATTCGATGATCTCAGCGCTCTGAACATCTTCACTATCAGTTCATCTTCCACACTGTCAAAGACAAAATCAGAGATCATGAGAAACATTCAAACAGTATTTCAGGATGATTTAAAAGTGTGACTGCAGATGATGAATGTGAAACCTCAGTTTGTGCAGGTGTGTGATGTGTCTGAAGAGCAGTTTGATTCCTCTGAGAGAGATGGCGAGTGTCTTCAGAGTCAGGTTTAGTTTGGAGGGCGAGCGGCCCAGAACTCTCCCCACAGATCTGCAGGAGCTGCTGGGTAATTTCCCACTCAGAGTAACAGTGAAGTCTAAAGCCCGGAGCAGAGGAGTCACCTGATCTGCCTTCACTCTCGGCCCAAACACTTTACATAGTGACGGGATGAACCGATCAGCATTCCTACAGGACGAGGATTTAATCAATGAAAATTATTAAATATAGATATATAAAAGTATCCTGTCATGGTAATCAAACATACTGACTTATGTTTACAATCTGTGGTTGAAAAAGCATACATCTTTAATTAAATATAAAGGCATTTAAAATGGTATTTTAAAAGTGTTTCACACAGACCTGAGCTGTGAGATGTAGGGCAGACACTGGAGGAATCCCCTCACTTCACTCTCTTCATCTGTCCAGTCTAGCAGATCTACTGGTTTCTTCTCTGTCTGCAGTTTCAGCACTTCTAGGAGGATGGAGATCTTTCTCTCTGAGAGATCTATGATCCAGACTGCAGGAGCTGACTGATAAACTGGCTGTAATGCTGGAAGGACACTCCTGCCTGTTTGAGTCTCATAGTCCTTCACATGTGAACACAGATCCAGCAGGAAATCACACTGATACTCAGCATCATAATAATTATCATCATAGGGGAAAGATGTGTAACTGCACACAGATGTTAATAGTTCAGTGTAATTTTCTTCTGTATTTGCATCAAACTCTGATGCTGAAACAAACAGATTCAGCAGAATCTTCACAGCAGCTTCTCTCTCCATGTAGAGAATGCCAGAAAATCTGTGGAGACACACATAATTATCACTTTATTGTCCAGTGTAGAAGAATATAAAATATTGAAAAACGTGACTCATTGAATTATTACTTATGATAAGTCTTGTATAAAATAATTAGATGACTAACTTATAAGACTAGTCTATGCAACAGTGTTCAATTCTGTTCAATTCTGGTTCACGTTCACATATATATTGTCTTCCTAACACACACTGTACTTTAAAGGAGCTGTATGCAATGTATTTCAATTAATCATACATTTTCCCTGATATGTCATTAGACATTAAGAGATCATGTTCATCTCAAATAATTATATCACTGACAACAGCAGTCCGGCCAGGATATTATCATATAAAAGTGAAGTTGCAGCCCTCAACTGATGTTGATATTGTCATGTTGTGTTTTGGTCTGATGCTCCACCCTCCACCAATCTACCAATCATGGAGTCAGTAGTGTTGTGGCATTTGGGTTGCCAGCTCTTCTCTAGTTACCGCAGCTGCAGATACAAACGTGTCGGAATCGGATAAAAAAATTCTAATGTTGCAAAACCCCCAAAAAACTCGATATAAATCCGAAATACTTTGTTACAAAGTTCGAAATAAATAATTAACAGAAAAAGACTCGTCACTTGCCATTGGAAGCTTCTTGTAGCATCCTACATTCCTGCTGGAACCTGCAGCATATCTGGCAACCTCGAGTCATTGGGAAATGCGGGAATACACCCTAATTTGAAAGTGATTGCAGTGCCGGTTTTGAACACAATCTTGCATACAGCTCCTTTAAATTCATTAATTTTATTGTGAGCTCTGAATACAATAATCCAGCATGGTTGGTGTGTTCCTCATGAGACTCACCTGAGCTGTGAGATGTAGGGCAGACACTGGAGGAATCCCCTCACTTCACTCTCTTCATCTGTCCAGTCTCTCAGATCTACTGGTTTCTTCTCTGTCTGCAGTTTCAGCACTTCTAGGAGGATGGAGATCTTTCTCTCTGAGAGATCTATGATCCAGACTGCAGGAACTGACTGATAAACTGACTGTAATGCTGGAAGGACACTCCTGCCTGTTTGAGTCTCATAGTCCTTCACATGTGAACACAGATCCAGCAGGAAATCACACTGATAAATTTCAAACTCAGTTTCTTCATAATTATCCTCATCATAGGGGAAAGATGTGTAACTGCACACAGATGTTAATAGTTCAGTGTAATTTTCTTCTGTATTTGCATCAAACTCTGATGCTGAAACAAACAGATTCAGCAGAAACTTTACAGCAGTTTCTCTCTTCCCGTCGCTAATGTCAGAAAATCTGTGGAGACACACATAATTATCACTTTATTGTCCAGTGTAGGAAAATATAAAATATTGAAAAACGTGACTCATTGAATTATTAATTAATATAAAAATTTTAGGGCTGTGCAAAAATTAATTGCGATTAATCGCATCCAAAATAAAAGTCTGTGTTTACATAATATATGTGTGTGTGCTGTATATAATTATTTTGTATAAATACACACACATGCATGACTTTAAACACAGACTTTTATTTTGGATGCGATTAATCGCAATTAATTTTTGCAGAGCCCTAAAAAATGTATATGAACATTCGGATTTGACTATTACTTCAGTTTATATTTCAGTTGTAGAGGATGGTTGTGTATTGAGTGGTGTGTTGGAAATATAATCGTAAATAAAAAATTTAGTAAATAAAAGTATTTCTGTATAGCATTTATATTTTGGAATCTAAATAAAAAAATAAAAAGTAAAATAAAAAGTTTGAGTAACTTAATTCATTTCCTCAAACCTTTCATGTCAAGAACATGTAATTGGCACATATATTGAGTTGATATGAAGATAAACCTGCGTCAGACACACAGTTTCTACACTGTATATTTTCTGATTTGACAGTAAACACTTAATCTAGAGCTCCATTACAGTCAATCAGTAATTTCACACACACACACACACACACACACACACACACACACACACACACACACACACATACACACACACACACACACACACACACACACACACACACACACACACACACACACACACACACACACACACACACACACACACACACACACTGGTAAGACTGCATCAGCAGATGTGAAATAAAAAAAAATTAAAAATACAAGAGTTACACACAAAATGTGTTTATAAAACATAAATTGTAGAGAATCCAAAAGCCTCTATATATTTATATAGTGAGAGGTGGTTACACCATGACATCACACATTTTTGTTTTTTAACGCCTCCAAGTGACACTATTCTCACATTAAACATTTTTGTTAAAGAATCCCTTCAAAATTCTAAATAATAGTGAAAAAAAATATTACTAAACAAAAAAATATTACATTAATTTCACTGAAAAAAAAGTTACATTTCAAGGCTTTGGCCACTTTTGACCATGAAGGGATCAAGTGTGAGCACAAAATGAAGAGGCTCAGATCGACTATGCAGAAACCCACTTTAGCTCGATTATAACCGCATATACAGTATAAACGGACTGTGAGCTGCATGAAGCTGATATAATAGAAATACATGAATAAAATTAATCTCTACAGAGACTGAACATGAGTGATAGAAGGATTTGAACAACAGATTTACTCACAACACGACTGTCAGCGGCCAGATCATAAACAAAGACGCTTAGTTAAAACTGTGTCATGAGAAAACAGTGTTGGGCTCGTTACTCAAAACCAACACATTCTCACCCCAAGGCGTCACCTTTGACCATGCTTCAATATTTGACGTTTTAGACGCCCTTTAGCACTTACATGACGCGATCCTACGGCGTCATCTAACTGACGCTAAAGGGCGCCTAAAGCGTCAGATATTGAAGCATGGTCAAAGGTGACGCCTTGGGGTGAGAATGGGCTGTCAAAACATGGATCATTTACTCAGTACTAGTTACTCCTTACAAAAATAATATTATTAATTTTCTTATTACTCCCAGACAACAGTAATTAATTACACTAGTTACATTACTTTTCCAGTACACCTCCAAATAATTGGTAATTGCATAATTTTTGCAGGCAACCTGTGAATCCATGAAAGTTACAAATAAACGAAGAGTACAACTGTCTCAAACTGATGACAAGCCACAATTTGTTTAAACCCCTTCTGTTATTTAATAAAGCAGCAACATAGAAAAAATAAAATAAAGTCTGTATTTCAGCCGCTTTATGAAGTGGTTTATAAATGTTCTTCTCCGTCTTCAGACAAAGACTTGCTGCGTTGATGATGTCATGAACGCACACACAGCGATTATGAAAATTGATAGAGATGATTGGATTTCTGAATTTCAAATCATTAGCAATTGTGACAAAAAATTTTTATGTTATTAGTTACACTACTAGTTACCAGAGAAAGTACTAGTAACTGCCCAACACTGCACAAGTCTGAACAACTAGCAGTTAGTTAGGGCGAATCACACTTACTTTTCAGATTCAAATTACACCAATACCTCTTTATGTAACTGATTTAAAACAGTTATGATCAGTCTTGTGTAAAATAATTAGATGACTAACTTGTAAGACTGTGAAGTTTATGCAGCAGTGTTTTCAATTCTGGTTCACGTTCACATATATATTGTCTTCCTAACATACACTGAACATTCAATTTATTAATTTTATTGTGAGCACTGAATACAATAATCCAGCATGATTGGTGTGTTCCTCATGAGACTCTCACCTGAGCTGTGAGATGTAGGGCAGACACTGGAGGAATCCCCTCACTTCACTCTCTTCATCTGTCCAGTCTCTCAGATCTACTGGTTTCTTCTCTGTCTGCAGTTTCAGCACTTCTAGGAGGATGGAGATCTTTCTCTCTGAGAGCTTTATTCTCCAGACTGCAGGAGCTGACTGATAAACTGACTGTAATGCTGGAAGGACACTCCTGCCTGTTTGAGTCTCATAGTCCTTCACATGTGACCACAGATCCAGCAGGAAATCACACTGATACTCAGCATAACAATTATCCTCATCATAGGGGAAAGATGTGTAACTGCACACAGATGTTAATAGTTCAGTGTAATTTTCTTCTGTATTTGCATCAAACTCTGATGTTGAAACAAACAGATTCAGCAGAATCTTCACAGCAGCTTCTCTCTTCCCGTCGCTAATGCCAGAAAATCTGTGGAGACACACATAATTATCACTTTATTGTCCAGTAGGAGAATATAAAATATTGAAAAACGTGACTCATTGAATTATTAATTAATATAAAAAATTTAGGGCTGTGCAAAAATTAATTGCGATTAATCGCATCCAAAATAAAAGTCTGTGTTTACATAATATATGTGTGTGTGCTGTATATAATTATTTTGTATAAATACACACACATGCATGTATATATATTTAAGAAAATGTGTTATTCATATATAAAATATTTATATAATATAGATTATGTATTTATATATATATATATATATATATATATATATATATATATACAGAATTTAAGCGCAAATAATTCTTAAATATATACATGCATGCATAGGTATTTATATATACAAAATATTTATATACAGCACACACAAATATATTATGTAAACACAGACTTTTATTTTGGATGCGATTAATCGCAATTAATTTTTGCACAGCCCTAAAAAATGTATATGAACATTCGGATTTGACTATTACTTCAGTTTATATTTCAGTTGTAGAGGATGGTTGTGTATTGAGTGGTGTGTTGGAAATATAATCGTAAATAAAAAATTTAGTAAATAACAGTATTTCTGTATATCTTTTATATTTTGGAATCTAAATAAAAAAATAAAAAGTAAAATAAAAAGTTTGAGTAACTTAATTCATTTCCTCAAACCTTTCATGTCAAGAACATGTAATTGGCACATATATTGAGTTGATATGAAGATAAACCTGCGTCAGACACACAGTTTCTACACTGTATATTTTCTGATTTGACAGTAAACACTTAATCTAGAATAGTCAATCAGTAATCACACACACACACACACACACACACACACACACTGGTAAGACTGCATCAGCAGATGTGAAATAAAAAAAAAAATTAAAAATACAAGAGTTACACACAAAATGTGTTTATAAAACATAAATTGTAGAGAATCCAAAAGCCTCTATATATTTATATAGTGAGAGGTGGTTACACCATGACATCACACGTTTTTGTTTTTTAACGCCTCCAAGTGACACTATTCTTACATTAAACATTTTTGTTAAAGAATCCCTTCAAAATTCTAAATAATAGTGAAAAAAAATATTACTAAACAAAAAAATATTACATTGATTTCCCTGAAGAAAAGTTACATTTCAAGGCTTTGGTCACTTTTGACCATGAAGGGATCAAGTGTGAGCACAAAATGAAGAGGATCAGATCGACTATGCAGAAACCCACTTTAGCTCGATTATAACCGCATATACAGTATAAATGGACTGTGAGCTGCATGAAGCTGATATAATAGAAATACATGAATAAAATTAATCTCTACAGAGACTGAACAAGAGTGAGAGAAGGATTTGAACAACAGATTTACTCACAACACGACTGTCAGCGGCCAGATCATAAACAGAGACGCTTAGTTAAAACTGTGTCATGAGAGAACAGTGTTGGGCTCGTTACTCAAAACATGGATCATTTACTCATTACTAGTTACTCCTTACAAAAATAATATTATTACTGTACTTATTACTCCCGGACAACAGTAATTAATTACACTAGTTACATTACTCTTCCGTTACACCTCCGAATAATTGGTAATTGCATAATTTTTGCAGCCTGTGAATTCATGAAAGTTACAAATAAACGAAGAGTACAACTGTCTCAAACTGATGACAAGCCACAATTTGATTAAACCCCTTCAGTTATTTAATAAAGCAGCAACATAGAAAAACTAAAATAAAGTCTGTATTTCAGTCGCTTTATGAAGTGGTTTATAATATGTTCTCAGTCTTCAGACAAAGATTTGCTGTGTTGATGATGTCATGAGCGCACACACACAACAACGATTATGAAAATTGATAGAGATGATTGGATTTCTGAATTTCAAATCATTAATAATTGTGACAAAAAAATGTAATGTTAGTTACAATACTAGTTACCAGAGAAAGTACTAGTTACTTACTGCCCAACACTGCACAAGTCTGAACAACTAGCAGTTAGTTAGGGCGAATCACACTTACTTTTCAGATTCAAATTACACCAATACCTCTTTATGTAACTGATTTAAAACAGTTATGATCAGTCTTGTGTAAAATAATTAGATGACTAACTTGTAAGACTAGTCTATGAAGTTTATGCAACAGTGTTTTCAATTCTGGTTCACATTCAGATATTATTGTCTTCCTAACATACACTGTACATTAAATTCATTAATTTTATTGTGAGCTCTGAATACAATAATCCAGCATGGTTGGTGTGTTCCTCATGAGACTCTCACCTGAGCTGTGAGATGTAGGGCAGACACTGGAGGAATCCCCTCACTTCACTCTCTTCATCTGTCCAGTCTCTCAGATCTACTGGTTTCTTCTCTGTCTGCAGTTTCAGCACTTCTAGGAGGATGGAGATCTTTCTCTCTGAGAGATCTATGATCCAGACTGCAGGAACTGACTGATAAACTGACTGTAATGCTGGAAGGACACTCCTGCCTGTTTGAGTCTCATAGTCCTTCACATGTGAACACAGATCCAGCAGGAAATCACACTGATACTCAGCATCATAATAATTATCATCATAGGGGAAAGATGTGTAACTGCACACAGATGTTAATAGTTCAGTGTAATTTTCTTCTGTATTTGCATCAAACTCTGATGCTGAAACAAACAGATTCAGCAGAAACTTTACAGCAGCTTCTCTCTCCATGTAGATAATGCCAGAAAATCTGTGGAGACACACATAATTATCACTTTATTGTCCAGTGTAGGAGAATATAAAATATTGAATACAAGTGAAAATATAATCCTAAATTGAATATTTTGTAAAATCAGTATTTCTGTATAGCTTCTATCTTTTGGAATAGAAAAAAAAAAAGTTTGAGAACTTTTGAGCAAAATTCCCCTCGATTTCAACCACTAAATTTATGGAGGCGAATTTGTAAAGCGAAATAAAATGGAGCAAAAATTGCCTGTCAAATATTATAGATTGCATTTTTAGACAGAATTCATATTTTGGAAATGAAATCTGAAAGTTCAAAATGGATTATTGAATCTTTAATAATGAAAATGTGTGTGAAATGTTTTGAATTTAAATATTTTAAATAGCTTGAATATACAACCATGTAGACTTTCAGCCCATAAAAATGCAAGCCCTAAAAATACAAAGCATTAAAATTCAAGCAGGGTTTATGTGATGCATATTTTTTCAAGTAGTGCAATTCAACAAGATTTATTGTTTCAAAAACATTTGTCATTATTTTACTTCCATTTCCATTAAAGTAAAGTTCTATTTTGTCCTGTATTACGTCACATCAGTAATAATAACGTTTACACACACTTTAAACATTTCAGTTGGGCTAAAACATTATCAGTCTCTTAAAATTGGTTTGGTGTTTCTGAAGATGGATGATCAGGCAACAGATAATGTGAGTGTATCTTGACTTCATCCAGTATTATATAGAATACAATCAGAATAAAACTGGCCTCATCGTTGTGCACTAACTATGAGAGTCATCCAGCCGCTGAGGGGTCGGCAAAATCACACTTCAATTCAATTTTTTTCAATTCCGGGTCACGATCGCATTTATTTTGTCTGCCCAACATATACATTAAATTCATTAATTTTATTGTGAGCACTGAATACAATAATCCAGCATGATGAGAGTCTCACCTGAGCTGTGAGATGTAGGGCAGACACTGGAGGAATCCCCTCACTTCACTCTCTTCATCTGTCCAGTCTCTCAGATCTACTGGTTTCTTCTCTGTCTGCAGTTTCAGCACTTCAAGGAGGATGGAGATCTTTCTCTCTGAGAGCTTTATTCTCCAGACTGCAGGAGCTGACTGATAAACTGGCTGTAATGCTGGAAGGACACTCCTGCCTGTTTGATACTCATAGTCCTTCACACGTGAACACAGATCCAGCAGAAAATCACATCTCTCATAATTCACAGATGACAACAGTTTCTTCACAGTTTCTTCTATTGTCTCTTTCTGGTGGAGAACAGCTTGCAGACACAAATCCAGTATGAAAGATCTCTTTCTTTTCTCCCATGATTCAGATGAGTTATTCTGTAGTTTAACAAATCTAAAGAAAGAATGAACAAGATTCAGTTAGATACGACAAAGGAGACAAATAAAGATTATTTAAATGATTCAAACAGTTTGTCAGACAATACCTAAGGTCAGTGTAATTGAACAGTGAAAAGTGATGAACAAATATTTTTATTATTATCTTTAGTTTTCAGTTTTGCTCTTTGAATTTTTTTGTAGCAAAATATCAAATGATTATTGGCAAATAGAATCTCACTAGTTGAAATCAATTACATTTTTCAAACAAAAAAAAGAGTGCATATCTGCCAATAAACTGTGAAACAATGAAACAAATACAGTAATTTAAAACATTTCCTGAAACCACAAGTTCTAAATTATTAATTATATTAACAGATTCAGTTGCTATTAATGTAACTCTTTGTCAGACAGACGGTTGCTCCACCATTACAGACGCATTAGTAACACTTTGGCTGCATTTACTGTCCACCAATACCATTTATTCCCCAGATATCTAGAAACCGAAATATATTGACATATCAGTTGTCAGTATCGCTGAAAGCTTTATAAACGCAGGAAACACAGAACCGCTGATCACAAACAGATGTGTTGCCAGCTCCTGTTGTTAGTCACCAAAACACAAGACCAACACGTTTCAGAAGAGGTATTGCCAGCTGAGACTAATTATATAAATCATACATTCCTAGTTACCAATTCGATATTGGGCCAAACTTTCCCCTTTTCTCTGGTGAATCAGCCAAAGTATTATGTTTGTTGACCAATAGTATTTATGGAATGAGGAATCAAATCTTTGATCGTTTGGCATATAAGATGTCATTGTACAATGGAAAAAAACAAAACAAAAAAACTCTTCAGACCCCCAAAAATCAGCATAAACTGAAATCAAGCTGCCAGATGACTTGTTTTCTACTTCCTCCACATTGTGACATTAGACTATAGTAGATATTTTCATCTGACCAACTCCAAAACAACACATCAACGCCTACTTTCATTTCATTTTGATAACCTGCCCAGCAGAGGAAGAACAACAGCATGACCAGAAAGAGAGAGCAGGTCACCCAAGACCATAGAGATACTCATGTTAACAAGCACCTGAAGCTTACTGCAAGTTTTAAACTAGTTTTTATTTTTTTTATTTTATTTTTTACAAATATTAAGATGTCAGTGAAGTTCTACACAGCCTTCTGAAGGACTCCAGCATTAGGAACGAATGGATGGTTTATTATTAAACAATGTCTAGGATCATGTTGGAAATTGTTTGTTCTGATTATTTCACTACAGATTTGGGTTTGTGATCAGGCACAATTTAATGCAGAGTTTGGAAAGAAATGTTTATTGGAAGATAGAGCAATGCCAACAATATTGTATCGGAAAACAGCAAATGATAATGTTTTCAAAACACACATGTGCAATATTGGAGGCACTGATACTTTTTCCTATGAAATGACCTTAGCCAATCATAACAGTGGCCAGTCTTAAAGGAGATGTATAGCACTCAAACCAAGTGTTTGTGACAAAAGGTCAAAATGAGGGTTGAAAATTATATTTTTGAATATATGACTGTATTTAAAATAGTGAAAATATTAAAATAATTACAAACAACACGTAAAGACCTATTAATTTTGTTCAAGTGCACGGTCATGAAAAAAAAAACAGGTTGTTTTCATCACTTTTCTGCTCTCAGTGTGTTTTGGCTGAATATTAATGTAAATGCAGTCAGTTCATCTCAAGTGAATGTAAAGAGTAGAAACTAAAAATCAAAACAACAGATCTGTCTTACAGTCTTACAGCTAAAATCTTCTGCTACATTAAAACAATAGAAATTAAGCTTACAGAATCTGATTTAAATGTTTTTTCTAATTAATTTAAATAAGATATTTTATTTATTAATGAATTTAAATGACAACATTAAAATAAACTGAATCAAACTATGAGTGTATTCCCTCATGAGACTCTCACCTGAGCTGATCCCACACACACACACACCCACACACACACACACACACACACACACATAGAGAGAGACAGACAGAGAGAGACAAAGACAGAGAGAGAGAGAGAGAGAGAGAGAGAGAGAGAGAGAGAGAGAGAGAGAGAGAGAGAGAGAGAGAGAGAGAGAGAGAGAGAGAGAGAGAGAGAGAGAGAGAGATAGATAGAGAGATTCACTGGTAAGACTGCAACAGCAAATTTTGAGAATATGCAAAAATACAAAAAAAATATAAAAGAGACTCGCTCAAATGCGTGTGCACACACACACACACACACGCACACAGAGAGAGAGAGAGAGAGCGAGAAAATTAACTTAATTAGTATTATTTTATGTTTATTCCTGTTCGATCATTATTGCTGTTCCCTTATGAAGTTTTTATTACTTATTGAATAAAAAAATAATAAAAAAATACCAATTTATTGCAAAATGTCTGTAAAGTGTTTTGAATTATCACTAACCATCCCTTCTTTTGTTCAATTATTTGAATGATCAAATACTGAGTAACAAAAATGTTTGCATTGTGTTCCCTTTCTAACCAAATGCTATTGTTTGATTGTAATCATTATGCAAAACCTGATACTTATCTAAAAAAAATTGTTAAAAAAATAATTAGTTGTCTTTTAGAATATCTAAATCTATATCTAAATTAAAAAAAAACGAATAAGATAGAGAAATCATGTCTAAAACAACAACAGAAATCAAAAAGCCTCCCTATGTATTTATATAGGAAGCTATAGGCAGCCTTCATGCTGTACAGGACATTGCACACATGTAACTATTTTTTAAAGCCATAAGGTGGCGCTCTTCTACTTGAATTTTTTTTTTTTTTTATAAAGCTGGCACTCTATTTTGATGTGAATTGTTGCATTTATTGAAAAAAAATAAAAATAAATATAAAATAAAAATATATATATTAATTATAATGGAAAAAATAGCTCTTAAAAATTATATAATTAATGCAAAGTATCATAGAAAACTCAGAAAATTCTAAATAATAATCAGAAAATATTATAGAACAAAAATATATTTGAACGGTTATCCTGGGAAAAAGTAAAGTTCAATTTTAAGGCTTTGTCCGTTTTTGACCGGGAGGAAGCTAAGTGTAACCCATTTACGAAGAAGCCCAGAGGGTTAAGCGGCTCGTCGAATGTGTGGTCTTCGTGTTCGAGCTTCCCAGTTCCCACGGACGCTGTTCTTTGTCAACAATGGATACAATTTATGTTTGATTATGTTCCTGAAAGTGACGATCGTAATCTAGCTCTCTGTGCTGCGCATTTTACGGAAGACAGCTTTCAGAATCTCCACGAATTCAACACCGGATTCAACAAGAAACTGTTACTAAAACATGAAGCAGTTCCGACTTTAAAGCCAGAGGCAGCAGTTGTTGGGCCACAATCTGTAAGTAGGCTAAGACTTAATCATTTTAAATGTATTTGCATGTATAATTCCAGACGTAGCCTTGTGTTTTTTGTTTTTTTTTTTCAAATGCCAGCGCTGGCTTTATAGCCACTATTAGGCTACTAGTTATGCTATTTTGTGTCTACGACAAACGCGTACAAACATTATGGACCTGAATTTTGTAGAAGTATGTTTTGTATAATAAGTATTTTCATGTATATATGCTTTATGACGTTATTTTCGATTTGATCAAGAACGTAAACTAATGCCAACGCTGTACGAGCGTATGGGACGCTCAGGGGGGTTCGGTTAAGCACTAGTAGAAATGGTGGTGGGAGTTTCCGGTTAGAGAAACTGGAGCAAGAGAGTGTGTGTCCCAGCAGAAGGGTTTTATTCGGATTATTTCTGCATGTATGAAATATTACAGGATTTTCTCATAGGTATACGTGTGGTCTACAATGAACAGAAAACAAAATACAGTATAAATTTGCTAGTATAAACAGTTTACAGATAACACAAATTATTTAGTTTAAATATCTGCATTATACTACAGAACTTAAACAACTGAACAGTATCAAACTAGTTTAGATTTAACTTTACATGACTGTGGTAGCATGCAATTCACACGAAAATATGATTATACAAATTACTATATGATCTAGTACATTTCACGGATAATAGCAACTGAATACACAGAATATTAAAGTTTGATCAGCATAGAATGTGAAACAGACAACTTACTTTTTGATCAATCACTCACGGAAGTAATAAACATGCAGCAGTCCGCTTTCTGTGAGAAGCAAATTCAGTCTCCTATGTATCTGAACTGCTCTCTGACACTAGTTCAGACATGTCCCGACTTGTCTATGCCCGTGCAAGCACCAACAAAGTCACATACATAAAGATACCTCCAGGGGGCATTGTTGGGCTTTCTTACATAGCCGCCCCAAAATGTTGCTCCCGACATTTGAACCTGGTAGAAAGCCCCTTTTAAATGTCAGGATTGATGTTGTCATCATCTATGAGTTTGGGAAGTGGAATTAACCGAGCCACGGGTCTAACATAAGTCCGATCTTGAACCTGAACGGCAACTGTCCTTATACGTCCATCAGGTCCAGGGAAGGTACGGGTCACTTTGCCCACTGGCCAGAGGGCTCGTGGAAGTTGTGGGTCAATTATGAGTACTACCTGGTCAATCCTGAGCTGGTCAGTATCCTTTTGCCATTTTTGTCTTTCCTGGAGACTTGGCAGATAGTGATTAATAAATCTTGCCCAGAAATGGTCCGCAAGTATTTGGCTATGCCTCCATCTCCTGGTTCCCAAAAGATTGCTGGAGTCATAGATTACTTGTGGGAGAGAGGAGTCATGGCGACCCATAAGCAGGATGCTGGGTGTGATTGGGTCTGGGTCTGCGATATCCGATGATACGTAGCCTAATGGCTTGGCATTCATAATACCCTCCACCTCAATCAGAACAGTGCGGAGAACGGTTTCAGGGACTGTCTGTTCCTTCAGAATGACTTTCAAGGCTTGTTTCACTGATTTTACCTCTCTCTCCCAAATACCACCAAAATGCGGAGCACTGGGAGGATTGAATCTACAAGAGATTTTCTGTTCAGCTAATTGCT